GTGAAAAATTGTGAGGATATCTAGAAAAAGACGAAAACATTGAAAATATATTTCTTTTCAATTGGTTCTTCAATCATGGCTTAGCATTAATACATATGTTGAATAACCTAGTCTAGTAAAGGAAATATATAGTCAGTTAAATAATTAACTTCTCATCAACCTTCATCAATTCTTCTGAACAAACAAATGATTCATTCTATAATGACATATTTCAGCTTATTTAATCATCATTATTCATGGATTTGCACTACTGAGGAGTCCGACGATAGGGTGAAATAGCCATCCAGTGCTTCAAGGTTATTTTTATAGAGGTCTAGCTTCAACTGACTCATGATCTCAACTATTAAAATCATTATTTAATACTTTTGAATATGTCATCTTTTGATTACTCTCCTCATATTATTCTGAATGTTTAAATGGGAAATTTCTCATTGGTGATATCAGAAAATTAATGTAATGTCTGTTTACAAAGTTGATGAGTTAAAGAAGATGGTTCTTTTGAATGAAATCAAGGGTTCCCGTCAAGTACTATGATTACTGAAAAACTGAAGAGATTGTTGACTTTCTATATTCATGAAAATATCAAATATACATAGGGAGGCGGGGCGAGGGTTCAATGATTTCGATTCTCTGATTTATTATCTAAATAATCTACAACAGACTGAATGTTAGAAAATCATCTATGAATATGATTTAAATGAAAGATGAACTAAAAAATAAGATAACTGAACAATCTCACTTATGAAGATTGTTAAGAATAATTCAAAAAATAGAAATGAAAGTAGAGCAATTACATTGATAAGTTTGATATAGTCTAATAATAAGATGGATCTCCTAGGCGTTTCGTAAAAGTATATTTTGTGATCTAAATTTGAGTATATTATTACACATTTTCTTATTGACATTTAAGACTGTAATGGATCAGTCTCTTTTGTCTATATGCGTATTCTGTACGGATTGTGTTGATATTGTCTTAAGTTAAAAGCATTTTAAGCGGAGATAGATGGTGATTAACTGTAGAATCTAGAACTTGCATTTCTTTCTATTTAGGACTCGTCAGCTAGATGTACGTTCATGTCAGAGTTGATTTTTACTCCAGGATTTGGCTTCAAAACATCAACTCTTGGATTGAGGTACATTCAGCTGATGATGAAACGCAGACTGTGGACTCCACAGCTTGCTGAATATACATATTTTATAAATAGTCATGTTGTTTATTTAAATAAAAACGATATTTTCTATGACATAATTCAGTAAACATAAAGGCTGTATGGGTAAATAGATCATGAGTTCCGTTTCATATGAGGTCATGGATGTATACAATTGAAATGTCTTCGATTAGATCAGAAACAGTTACCCAGTACGTTTTTTATATTAAAGATAAGTGACTATTATTAAGGAAAAGCACATTCCTTCCAGGACTCGCTAATTAAATATATCTGCAACCCAATGTTGACATTCAAACTGAAACCTTTCTCTCCAAGTGTCAGAACATTATTTATTGAGTTATAAAGTTCAAATGTCCACAGCTTTGTATAATGCGTGTAGATTTTCTTTTTTAGGGTTTGTGTTTTTCCATTATTAATGTTAAAACTACAAATGGTCAATGTCTATTGGCATATGTTTATTCTAAGCCAATTATCTCTACATTTCTTTTAAAGCTAAAAGTTTTCACGCTATTTATATAATGGTTAACAGTGGAATGCTCATGATGTATATTTGTCATTAGAGAAATATTACCCCAAATATTGCCCCAAGATGCCCTGGTATGGCTGACAGTGGAGAGAGTCCGTTCTCTCTCTCCAAATGCTCTCACATGGCCACGCGTATATAGTCCTTAACAAGGAAGTCCTACTTACTGTATTCTCTTGGCATTACTGTTGTTTATGAAAGTGGGAGGATGAAAAGCGAATCTTCGGCGATTTAACCGGGTTCGTGGACACGGAGAGTCCACCTGGGAGAGTTGGAAAACCCTGATTACAAACCAATGATGCATATGGGCTCCAGGATTTTGAAGGAACAAATGGCATATGAACAAATCGTTGGTCACCAGCTACCATGAAACTACATCTCCTGATATTGCTCCATTGTCTTTTGGATCAGATCTTCACGTTGAAGGCTAGAGGTGTGACCCCTAAGAAGACCACCTGCTTCGGTCTGAGAACCCGTGCTATATAACAGCTTACACACAAATGAAGTGAGTTGTGTGGCGCATACGTATTCATTGACCTCTTGTACTAATATTTATCTATTCAAATAAATCAATAAATAATACAAACAATTATTCAGTACCATCTAGGTTTTTCAATAGTTCTCATAATGACGTCAATTCCAGATGAAAATTACCTGTCTGATTAGATTCTTTAAAAAAAACTCGACATACAAAAGATTGAAACAGATCCGTTTGTACAAAATCGTTTTACTTTTTTCCAATTTCATTCGTGTTAATATAGGAATTTTACGTTCGTCTTGACAACTTATTCAGTTCACCATTTTCAAATTGTTTTAATCAATATGACACACATAATTTTGTGCTGGATACAAATTGGTTAAATAAACATATGACATAGTAATAATGTATCATATTTAAACAATCAAAAAGACTCACATAATGTATATGTAGTTATGAATACAATTTCTTATATATTTAGAAAGTAAATTATCAACCACCAGTTAACAGAGATCGGAACCTGTTGGTTTTCATCTGATCCCATAATTTTGACATTATTTTCTTAGAATTTTTAAATTTAAACACTGGATTAGAATGAAGTTATATCAATCAATAAACAACTTCATAGTTAGATCAGAACAAAACATACCGATTCATTCCAAGCTATCTGGTTTTAAACCCGACCGTTGTTGTTATCTTGACGTGGTGGTCGGGTTTGTATATCATGATGAACCAATCGAGCTATACTGGTCAAAAAACCGTTCCTCAAGGTCCTACCATGTCAGACAGGTCGGTTGAAGAACGGTAAGACTGAAATCAACAAACTCAAGCTCCGAAGGCGAGGTCGTACTGCTGACTGTACAGAGGTGTGACAGCAGTAAGGTGTTTCCTTCAGACAACCAGCATAGCAGCAATGCTGCCTTCCCACAAGGAGGGGTGGGGTTAGAAAAGGTCGACCCTAAAGGTGCACAATTCGCCTTATCCCACATATATCCGTGTCTGGCGGTAAGGTCTCAACAAGTACGGAGTTAACACGAAGGTCGTGTTTGACTGACCTCGAACAGTTGTCCTTTGGACACTGAGGTCACTAACACCACCTCTTACCCAATTTCCTTTTCATGTACCTCCAGAAAACCCCTTCCACGGTGTGAGCAACCGGGAAGTGATGACCGCCCTCATACCTCTAACAGCACTCAAGACCACTGTATTCATCTGGTTGGAAAGCTGTATTAAGCTGGATTCATTAAAGAATACAGTGTTTAAGGCTAGTATTATACTTTCACAGTTTTTGGTTGCGATCAGTTTGGCTACATTCCAATTATATCAAATGTAAAAAGTATGATAGTAAATGCATTTAATATATTAGAGCTTCAGGAGATTCTGAATTAATTATCAGAATGATATAATACTTGATTAATGCTAATTAGTGTCTTCAAGTGAGACGTGATTTATAGCGACAATCATGATAAGAATAGACACATGCTAAATAATACGAAGTTACCGTTTTTGTTCTGAGACATAGTGATCAAAGGATTATAATCAGCATTGAAAATCTGTTACCTTTGAAGCGTGCTAACTCCACATTCGGAGGGTCATCGTTTTATTCGATATACTGGACTTTGAGCAAAAACTCTTGAAGCTTATCAAACTGAAAAGAGATAGTTGCTTGGTTCTTTCTGATTTTCAGAGATTCCTCAGTTGATCACAATCCAGTAAATGATTTTACTTTGAAGGTTTTCTACAGATTGTTTTAATTTGCAGATGGTTTACGTATTTAACTGACATCGGTTGAAGTACGATAGGAAATCTAGAAACACTGGACATTTATTTCATTTTAGTATTAAATTCCTCATCACTATGATTCCATAATCTCACCAGAAATCGACCTGAATAGTTGTTTGTGAGTACTTAACTATTGGGTTTCCATGCAATGACGAAAATCCGAAATTTCAATCACTGTAATATAGTGTGACGATTATATAATACCATTTGTAACGGTTGTTTCAATCCATTCATGTCTGCATTACACGAGTCACGAATTGTCACTACGATATAACAAGCTCTTGGATAAATTTCTTCAAAATGAGTTCCTAAACTTATTATAGGGAGTTATAATTAATAAAGTTCAGTCATGTCTGAGGTGATAAAAAATAATCTTCAATGGTATCATATTATTAAACAATATAAAACTACTTTTTTTCTGGTTAGCGTTTTTTCAGAGAGTTTTCTACGGGATGTAGTCGCTAACCCTATTACCAACTCTCCTCCTTTATCCGGGCTTGGGGCCGGCATTAGCTTCAGAGGAGCTCCAAGTGGAGTTCTATTGCATGGGGCAGAAACATGGAGAACTACGAAAACCATAATCTAGAAGGTTCAAGTGCTTATTAACAGTTAGCCAGAAACTATCATCAACAACCTACTGTGAGAGAGAACAAACCACATCCCAACGGAGGAAAAAATCTAGAAGAAGCACTAGAAATGGATAGGACACATATTGAGGAAAGCATCCAATCACGTCACAGCGCAAGTCCTGACATAGAATCCTCAAGGCCAAAGGAGAAGAGGAAGACAAAACAAAACATTACACCGAGAAATGGAGACAAACATGAGAAGAATGAATAACGATTGGATAGAACTAAAAAGCAAGGCCTAGGACAGTGTGAGTTGTAGAATTCTAGCCGGTGACCTATGTTCCACTAGGAGTAACAGGCATAATTAAATAAGAAAGTATATATTACAAGAAGTTGATTGAAGTTGAAAATCTATTAGTTCTAGTAGTTGAGCACTTATAACAAAACCTGAATATCCTAACTTCACTCTCTATTTAAGACTACGATTGAAGACTTTTGAGTAGTCTGATACTAGACCAGAAAAATTTATTATTATTGTTGTTATTATTATTAGACGTGGTAGTGTTGGTAGTAGTAGTAGTAGTAGTAGTAGTAGTAGTAGTAGTGTTGGTTGTAGCAGTAGTAGTAGTGTTGGTAGTAGTAGTAGTAGTAGTGTTGGTAGTAGTAGTAGTAGTAGTAGTGTTG